CTGCTCCCCCCATAGTGCGGGAGAGGTGGGGACCCGTCCGCCGGAGGCCGGCCCTGCTGGCGGCCCCCGAGCCCCCGGGGACCAGCTGAAGCGGATGAGTTGCGCACGGTGAGCACATCCGGGTTGGGAGGCACCACCACCACCAACGTTCAGGAAACTTTCTCAGTCTGGGTTATGGTGGTCAGTCTTTTCCCTCTTTCCTCCTGGTTCCCAGAGAGACCATCACTTCCTGTCATCTGGTCACGCACGGGCCACTCCATCCCAGGCTTACAGACAGACGTTCTCTCCTCCGTGAGAAAAACGTGTAAGGTTTCCAACAGCAGGAAACATGGCTGGGGTGAGAGGCTTCCTTCCACAACTTCTCTCTGGCGCGGGGAAAGCCTGCACTCTGCAGACGACGGAGCGAGGCCAGGCTGAGTTGTCACAGCGACCGAGGACGGCTGGTCTAATTCATCTGTGCGTGCACTTGGGGCTCAGGAGGAACCACAGACCCTGCTGGGGATGATGCCACCAAACTGGGAAGAATGAAGCCCTGGAAGAAGATGGGGCTGGGAAAGGGTGGGAAGGAAGGAAGAGGGATCGGAAGCAAGGAGCCCAGTGGGAAGTGACATCCTGGGGCTACCACCCAGCAGAGCTCCCTGGCCTGTAGAAGTGAGTTCTGAGACAGGCGGGCTGTCCTCGGAGACCCAACTTCGGGGAGCATCCCTGGCAGCCGACCCATCCCAAGCACACGGCGAGCTTGCCAGCCTCACGCCAACTCCATCGCATGCTGCGGAGCCGGGTCCCCCAGCTCACGCCCGGCAGCCTGCTTCCGAAGCCGCCGTTTCAAAGCGCGTGGCCCTCCGCTGGGAGCCCGGGAGCCCGGCCTGCATCCGGGGCCACACACCGATGGTCTGGGTTGTGAAGAGGCTGCTTTCCGCCACAGCAAAGTGCACAAAGCTTATGCTAGGGCTTGAAACTTGGGGTTCGTGTCTGAAGGATGACTGTTTACATAAACATGTCCATGGACACCTGTGTAATAAGGAAACCGTACTGGTTTCTCAAGGATCACAACTCAACTCTTCTGGGAGATCTTCTTTACTTTAAACGTATCCAATGGAGACATTTAAAAACTTCCAAGATTTTTTTTTTTTTTATGTGTGGCAAATTTAGGAAACGGTCCATCTCCTGCTTCCACAGTGTCCAAAGTAAGCTAAAGCCGGAGTCTGTTGCTGCTCCAGCATCTTTTCCAAGCAAAGGTCTCAGGAGATCTGCAGTGCCCAGGGGCTGCAGGAGCCAAGGCATCGATCTGGCAGGAGTGGGAAAGGGAGAGGCTTGCGGGGGCGGCACGCTCTGTACCTGTCCCGATACACTCCTGGCCTGGCCTGTCGGTCTGTCCAGGAGCACTGGCTGGGGCACTCAGCCGGGAAATCTAATTCGGCTAATGAACACTGGAGGCATCTGGATCAGCCCCACGAACCGTGCCCTCCAATACTGGCCACACTCCAGTGGCCGATACTCCGAGGCAATCTCAACTTTGAACGAAATGACTAAGGGCCCTCGCCATGCCAGCCTATTTCCCTCTGAACTTGATTTGATCTCTTACTCTGCCCTGTGTGCAAGAACTGGGCCCAGCTCCCTGGGTTCAGCACGATCCCCAAGCTGAAGGTGGCTGGTGGTGGAGTCTGGGTCCAGCCTCAGCGGGACTGTGAGCAGCACACACGTGCACAAGAAATTCACGTTTGCGCTCATGACAAGGTCCAAACAGCAACATGCTGGTTTGGAAAGGGGCCGCTGCATGGCTCTGCCTAGTGTCCGTTCCAATCCTACATGGTTCATGCCTTCTCAAGCCCGGCGCTCTCAATCCCCCACCACTCACCCCGTTATAGAAGCATTGTTGTTAGACTCCCGTCCTCAGAAAAGCACGCCAGGTTCCTTTTTGGTAAATACATTACCTAGTCATCGAAAGTTAGTGGTAGGCACCACAGCTGGCCCAGTTACTCCACTACTGAGAAACACTTAGTCTTTGTGGAACACTCTATCTACAAATATCAGATTATTTAGCCAGATTCTTTCCCTTCACTCCCTGGAGAGACATGAGCTGTAGGCTATGCTATTTCAGATCAGCGCAGATGGCCATTAACAGTGATGACCAACAGTAATGAAACCCAAAGCCACCAATCTGGGCAGATTTCCCCAATAATTAAGCACTCACAACCAACGCACCCTCGTGGGCTTCCAGCCATAACACAGCCTGGAGACCATCAAGAAAGTGGGCGTCACAGGGCAATCAGTCTAACTGATATCATTGGGTTCTACCATCTTTTGAAATTTCCTGGACTAAAATAATTGGAACATTCTTCATGGTATAGAATTTTAAGGCTTGAATTTACAACACATTCGTATGCTCCCGAATTTGTACTAAGATAAGTCTGGACTCTGCCCATGGGCATCCCTTTGACGTGTCTTCCCATTTTGAGCCAAAGAATGCCAGACTAAATCCGAGGTTAGGGATCTGTAGCTCTCTATCAACTTGGAAGAGAACGCATACCTGGAACTCACTTCTTCTCCAAACTTCCATCCAAAGCTTGGTTGTGGAAATAAAGTCAAAGGAGGATTACAGTGAAGGCCATGCCATCTCTCCGTGCTCTAGTAATTAAAATCCATCCCTACATTACACCACTCCTTTAGGGAGGGGTATACCTGCATCAATAAGAGACTGTCGTCATTCATTGAAAAGCACTTTAAAATGATATTGGCTCTTGCCTGCTATATAATTATATAGCAAAGCCCTGCTGTGCTCCTTTTGTGTACTCAAACAATATCCATGCATACGTGTGTGTGTGTGTGTGTGTAAAGGAACTGGCAAGCACTGAGGGGCATCACAAGAAGAAGCCCATGTGGGAGAATTTTCGAAGAACTGACTGTGATTCTATTAACTGAGGTGCTGGGATGGGAACTAAGTGGCATTACCCCTCCTGTGGGAACTTTCTGGGACATACTGATGTCACACCTTTTCCCCTTGGCAAGAAGCAGCAGACGTCTCTCCGATCAAGCCTGGGCTTACTAGGCGAGTGCAAGGTGGTCCGAAATGCTCATCAGTTGGACCCCATTTTTTCCTGGTCAGTGAGTCCTAGCAAGAGGAGTATTTTGATTACACTTCTCTCTCCAAACAACCTCTCTCTAAACAACCCAAAGCAACGGGGTCAATAATCTGACCCGTGTTCCCTGACGTGGTTTTAAGAGGATGTGAGCCAGCAAGAGGGCAGCTGATGGGGCAGGGCTGGGGAGAGAACCCACCGGAGAGCCAGCGCTGCTTCGGCGTCCTGTCAGTGGCTGCAGATGACGTGGGAACATCCACAGGCAGGCCTCCTGGAGAAGCAACCTGACTCTACTCCCAAGTCAGCCAACATAAACCAAGCACAGAGAAGTTTTCTCAGTACACTGTAGAACTGACACCTCAGAAGTCTGCTTCCTGGTAAAGCATGGGAGGCATTCCCATCAACATCAGAAACAAGTCAGGGATGCCTAATGAAACACTTGCGTTGTAACACGGTTCTGAAGGGGAAGGCCATCGCTGCAGGACGCAGAGAAGAAGGGCAATTCGCCCCAGGAAGCAAATGAAACAGTAACGATACCACTTGTTACCTATTATATTGGAAAATGATAGATACGTTACGCTGAAGGTGAACGCTCATGGGAATGAAGGTGTAAGCCCTCTGGCATGTTGCCGGCGGATAAAAACCGATACACTCTTTTCAGGAATCCGGCAAATATATCCAAAGCCATGAGCGCACAAGCACTCTTCAACTCCGGAAGCGACTGCTAGGAATCAGTCCCAGGGAAATGGAGGAGGGCACAGGGATGTCAACAGAGGACACTGATTAGTGACTTAAAACATTAAAAATAATTCAAAGTAAATTTATTTGAGAAACGTCCATTTTGGAGACACTGTTACACCAATCAGGGCCTATCTGCACGATGAGTGTTACATAACCATTAACAATGGCGGCGCACAAGCGTATTCCTGGGCACGGGCAGGTGCACGTGACCTGTCATCATCTAGGGGAGTGGGCACAGACAGCGAGCACGGGCTGACCCCGTGCTCGTGGGAGGAAAAAGCACCTACTCTCAGAAATGGCTGGGAGCACACACCCCAAAATGCTATCAGTCCTGTTCCACAGGTGGTCCTGTGGGAATGATGTTTCTTCAATATCCTTATGTGTAACTTCTTGTTCCTAACTGTAATTTTTAAAGTACTTAAACATCTTTAAGTTAAAAGCTTACCACAGTGATACAAACAGATGAGCAGCTAACACTATATATTCTAATCTATACCTTTATGTACATCAAGACCAATAAATATCAAGCAAGATCCATGGAATGTGTTGTTAGAGAACTGTCATTAACACCCCATTTTCAGATTTTACTTCCTAAGACAACTCACGATGGGTACAATGTCTGCATTTTCCCCCAAAATAAAATGAATTCTGCTCTTAAATCTACCTTCTATAAATCACCAATATATCTCATTTTATTAACACATGCAGAGAAGCTTCTCTTACCTTACGAACGATTTGTGTTCTTATCTGACAATAAAAGCTGAGTCACCAACTGCTTTTAACTTTCCTGTTTTTCTCAGCTGCTCAGAGCGGAGTCCTGGGTTCTGATGTAATTGTTCAGATTTTGTTCTAGATTCTCAGGTATATGCTCACTTTCTTTTTCTTTTGCTACCTGCTCTTGTCTTTTTACTTTCATTGAAAATTTTACTTCATCTGTTCCCTTTATTGTAAGTCCTTGCAGAATTAGAGAACCAGAAATGGGTGTCAGGGAGGGGAAGGGAGAGACACGTGGTCTGACGGAGAGTGAGGGGCGTATGATTTATCTCGTGATGGAGGAGACCCAAGACTACTTTAACTTCAGAGACGAGAGGCCTGCTGCTGTTAGGACCCCCACCCCTGCCACACACAGCGTGGGAGCTGAGCTCCGGGCCTGTCACCTGTGTAAGGGGCCACACTCACATGTAAACTTGGGTGGTACGTCAGCACACCATTGTCACACAGGGTGACGTATTTCTTTTTCCACTCCTTGTTCAGTGATTTGCCGCTCCGCTTCAGCAGCATGCCCTAGGAGGGAAAAGGAGCCACATATTCATTCGTAAATACAAATTATAAAGCCTGCCATAAGTTTTCTTAAAAAGTAGGCACATAGGTAATTCAAGAAATTTTAAACGTTCATTTTTCTCTCGTCATTGTAAAATGGAAATCACACTTATTTTTAGCTTGGTAATTCGGCTTTTCTCTTCTATTTTATGCGTAACGTATATATTCAACCAATTTCCGTGTGTGTGTGTTTAGACTGAACGATGTGCTGTTGGTTCGACAAATGCAATACACCAGCCTCCATGACGCGCCACGTACCTTTCCTTTAACTGAGCAAGCACCTGGAACTAAAGGTATGACGCTTTAATAAAGGAAACCTAAATTTCCTTTTCTAAAAACCACTCATTAACTGAATACTGAAACTCCTGGTATTTACAAATAAGAGCATTTTGCTTTACAGTTTTTCATTCCGGATTTTTAATTTATTAAACGTGAAATTCCATTTGTAAATTTAGTAACAGCATCTAATAGACAAATCGTGGATAATGTAATCCATCTTTAATGGAACCGTATTAGGGCTTCTTGAAAACCATTCAGCATTTGAAGCCAGCATGCTTGAGCATGTTGGACCCAGGCTTCCCTTGACAACTGATGGGAGCTTACTCCTGCTTGAACTACTCATTCCCAGCAAACCTCCCACATCGCCTCCATGCTTTCCTGGGGTGGAAACCCATGGCCAGCACTGAGCTCAGCCTTGACTTGGGATTTTCCTTCCCTGGAGGGTGGGGGGAGGCTCCACGCCCTCAGGAAACAAGGGAAAGCAAAGCGTCTCCTGGCTTGTTCTTGTTCTTCCTCTCACTGCCCGTTTAGAAACTCACAGGATGGTAAGGATGACTGAGAAGGCACAAGAAGAATGCATGCTAGTTAGCGCACCCGGGCCGAGGCCGAGCTAAGTTCTGAGTGTGAGAAAGAGTGTTACAGAAGCAGAGGTGCCCGTGTGTGTCCTCGTGAGCTTGTACAGCTTCGTCCAAACTCCTAATTCTGCTGTCCCCCAGGAACCACAACACGAGCTAAGAGAAAGGAAGCACTTTTGGGATAATTAGGTTCAAGTTCCAAATACCATGACAATACTGCTTTCTACACCAATTTTCACGAATATAACGGATGACGAGCCAGCTGGGAAGCCTGACTCAACCCCTGAAACGTTTCTGGGGGAAAATATTTCTAAGGTTGAAGAAACTCACAAGTGAACCTTTGGAAGGTCATCCCTTTGCATGTTCTTATTACATGAAGAAAACACACGGCCATCACTCAACATACCTTGATTTCTTAGAACCTAAGAAAAAACAATCTAAACCAAATATGGCACGGAGACCAACAGAGTCAGGCAGGCCCAGAGGAAAATGCTGGTTACAAACCCAGGTGATGTGAGGTCTCCCTGAAGAGGAAGAACTAGGGAGAGGGGCCGTCACTGCTGGTGATTCAACAGTAAATAAGTGATCACTTAAAATCGTAACATTTCCCTCTCTGGCAGATTTCTAAGATTTTTAAACTTAGCTTAACAAAACTTCACAGATGTTCTCCTGTGGGCTCATTTTCCACCATCCATTTCAGATGGAATTCCAACAATACCAGGGGCCAGGGGTCACCTCGGTGTCACCGGTAGCTGAGAGCTGCTCCAGGCCTCAGAAAGCTTTGTCCGTCTGCACTCAGACAAAAATGCAGGCTGCACCCTCACCCAGCCCCGGGGCTCCATGCAGATGGCCCTACATAGCTCCTGGCTAGACTGTGGGTACTTTCACGAGCAAATCCCATATGCACAATTATCCTCTCCCCAGTGGGGGCTGTCAGGACTCACTCCTAAGGAGATAGAGGGAAACAGTCCAACCAGGAGGCAACGAGAGGAGATGACATTGTCGGGGAACTAAAATAGGCTGACTTATCTTGGTGCTGGGAAAACTGAATGTCCAAATCTTGACAATCTTAAATAAAGTCTATGGTTCACCTTGCAGGATAATCTCTGATTATGATTCAAATGCTGTACAAGTCAGCAGGGCTGAAGAACACCCCGGCGTCCTAGGAGCCATGCCTCTGCTCTCCGGCCCAGGTCCCCGCTGGGTTCATTACCCAACCACCCAAGATTTCTGTGCCGATGGAGCCGCTCGGCTGCCCTGCTCCCCGCCTTGGCGCGGCACCCAAGTTAGGGCCCGCCAGCTGCACCCGCCGCTCCGTGACTGATAAAAGAGCCCATATCCTCAGAGGCGTCGTGAAGAGACGCATGAGCCCCAATGAGAAGCCGAAGCAGCCACGAGGTGAAGTTCTGTAATCAGACGCTCAATCAGATGACAAATGACAAGACTCAGCAAACAGCTTCTGCGGATTAAAAACGTGTTCTCTTTTAGTTTCTTTTTCTTTTTTTGCTGAAGTTCATTCCAAACACTGATTTTTTTTCAGAGTGTTTGTACCAAGTGAGAACCAGGGGGTTTGAGAGTCTAAAAAGAACCCAGGGGATGCCTGGGTGGCTCAGTCGGTTAAGCGTCTGCCTTCAGCTCAGGTCACGACCCCAGGGTCCTGGGATCGAGTCCCGCGTCCAGCTCCCTGCTCAGTGGGTGTCTGTTTCTCCCTCTGCTTCTGCCTCTCTCTCTGTCTCTCATGAATAAATAAATAAAATCTTTAAAAAAAAATATAAAAAGACCCCAGAGCTTAAACCACTCAGTCCCGACTCTGCTAGACTAGCATTTTTTCACGATTTGTGCCCAGAGTCACCTAGTCCTGCCTGGGCAGCCATATGCCAGGGAGCCCTTGGGTCTGGACAGCTGGAGCTGCGGGAGCAGTGGTCTGCTGCCAGAGGGGTGAGGATGAGCCTGGGTCGTAATTCTGGAGCCACACGGAGAGAGGAGGCCCCCTCTAATGTGCCCTCATTGGGAGGAACCGAGGAGCTACCACAAAGCCCCAGTGAGACATCCCACCACGTGGTTACATATCAGGAGCCCCTTCTTAGTCCCAGACTCTTCCAGAAGTACAACGTCCCAATTGCTCTGCCACAGTGGGGCCCCCCTCTGAACAGAGTCCCCCAACATGCTCAAGAAGGAGAGAAAACCCACTGTGCCCCTTTGGGACAGACTTCTATCAGTGCCATGAGAAGCCTAGTGTCCTGGCAGGCCCTCGCTGCATCAGGCTGAGCCCCTCGGACTTCATCTACGATGCTTCTGCCATCCCGCACTTACACATTGTCTACTTAAGGACCAAGAAAATGGAAAATCTGGAAACAGTTCATTTTCAACTTTTAAAGGCCATGAAGTCATGGTCCCACTTGCCAGAGGATGAGAGAGGCCGGAAGGCTCCCTGCCAGAGACACACATGGGCGGGCAGTTCCCGTCAGCGGGTGCAAATGGGCCTTATGATCCTAAGTCTCTTTGATTCTGTGTTACCCAGGGCGAAACTGTGAGGGTGGATGTCACAACGCATACTTGGTCTGTCTTTCAGATACCACTTCTGTACACACGAAAACAATCTCTCGCTTCAGACCGCTTCTCACTGACCAGCTACCACAGCGTGGACATCACTGTGGTTAGGGTTTTATTTAACTCGTAAGTGGCTTATGCATCTATTTTTTAAAAATTTTCCGTTTCAAAACAGTATTGGGCTCACTGCTCTAAGAGCCTTACAACTATTAACCCACAGAGAGCTCACAACCCAACGTAAGCAGTTACTATGATTATCCCCATTTTGCAGGTGAGGCCACTGAGGCACCGAGAGTTTACATAACTTCCCCCACACAGCCAGCACGGCAGCTGGTCCCCAGGGATGGCTCCCCGTGCACCCCGCCTCTAGGGAATCGTGCCCCCGTGGAAATCATCGCACGCGGACTTGGAGATGCCTCTGGCTCACTTGAACCAACAGAAGCAGGGGAAGGGACGCTATCTACATGGAGTTTAAATGTTAGATTTGGCAGTTCTGTGCTTTGGGGAGGTCTGAGCGAGAAGCCATGCTGTGCTCTGCCTGTGGTCCTGAGCCACCGAAGCACGAGAAACAGTGACTGTTTTCTGAAATCACTAAGTAGATTAAGTAGATAGATCCTCAAGGCAGTGACAGATAAGAAACTCAGAATTAGCACCCTATGCTGCAGTAATAAAATCCACAGACACGTGCCACTGGCTTGGCACCAGGCAGCTGGCTGAGGCTGCAGGACCTGAACAGCTGTTGACGGAGGCAAGAAGGACAGGGAGGAAGACGCTACCTGGGTTTGGACAAAGGGCGCCCCAGCGGGTCAGGGGCAGAGCCATCAGCCGACCTGCTGTCTGCGGGAACGTGAGGCACAGCCGGCTGGCCCGGGGAGCCCGGGAGAGGAGATTTCCGAGCAGAACGCTCACCGTGCTACTGGCTCTTAAGGGGTGGGGGGTGGGGGGGAATCAGGGATGTTCAGCTTTTCAGCAGAATTAGAGAAAATATTCCCAATTTAAACACCAACATAAGAAAAATCATTTCTCATTCCCAGCTTCTCCTGCCAGCAGAAAACTCAGGGTAAGAACTGGCCTCAGAACAAAGATCCAATCCAGGGGATGCCAGGAGATGTGATCTCAGAATGAGGACCCAGCAAGGTTGCAGCAGTTGGACCCTCGTCTTGAGAACTCAAAGATTTAAGGCACGGCCTCACGGACCCTTCCAATTAGAGAGCATGTGTGGACCAGAGACAAGGACCTGTGGGTTGGCTTTTGTCTAATGGAATAAATTACTATTTGATACAAAGGACACCCACAAGGGTTTTAAAGGAATTGTATTCTGTTGGACTAAAAGGCGCAGCGCAAGTCTAAAATGGAAAGAGGCCTCTGACCCTCAAACTAAGACCAGCAGGAAGCAGGCTGAGAGAGCCACACAGCTGCAAAACCAGGCCATTTCTTAGGGAAAAGGAAGGTCGGCTGAGACAGTAGAGCCCCGGGCCCAGGAGGGTGTCCTGGGGAGAGAACACCCCCTCCCCGCCCTGTGCCCTGAGCAGGGTGATTAGCAACATGTGCCTGGCTGGGTTCGGAGCTGCTATGGACTAGACTAGTAACTGCTACAGGCTGTGCACTCCCCTTTCCGGCTGAAGGGTTCTGTCCCGTGTGTGTGCATGTGTGTGTGTCAGGTGACTCGTCTCTGGAGTCCCCTGGTCTTCAGATGGCAAGGATCACATCCAAGGAGGCTCATCCACATGCACCTGATGCAGATGACAATCCCGGGCTTCCAAAGCCTGAGCTGGTGCCACCATGGGATGACACTTTGAGAATCCGAGGGCAGGGGGAGGGTGCTTTGCATGTGCGAGGGCAGACTGAAGTAGCTAGTCTCCAAAGATTACCCTCAAAAAAAATCTGCTCCTATGTGGTCCCTGGGGGCCTTCTGAACCCATTTAGCCCACAGAATGTGGTGGAGACGAGGCTGGGCCTGCTCTAGCTAAGGTAAAAGTCCGACAGCTCCTGTTTTTCTGCCCCTAGGAGCCCTCAGTGGCCTCATGAGGATTCCGACTCTCCTGCTGGGGAGACTGTGAAGAGGGAGACCCCAAGGCTACGTGGAGGACAGCTCCGGTGCCAGCTACGGGATGGCCACTGAGCTGCTGGCTCGACACCCAGGAGTCTGAGCCACGTCTGTCAAGGCACTGAAGGCAGGACTGAAGGAAGGATCCTGGCTGCCCCAGCCCTGGAAGGCTTCTGTGGGGCAGAGATGTCTCCATGATGCCTGGCCGAAATGCCTGACCCTCGGACTCATGAGAAATAAAATGGGATGGTTTTAAATCACTGTGATTGGGGGTAATTACCAGCAACAGGTAACCAGCGCAGCAGGACGAGCCAGGGGTGACGGGTCTATACCCGCGAATCACTTTGCCCTCCAGACCAATTTTAAAGCTTTGAGATCTTCTACTTGTTTGCATAGTAAGAAACAGAAGGGCTTTGTGACCTCTCCTATGTTCCTCTGATCTTAC